GTAAACGTTGTTTTTGTTAGGAAAACATAAAAATCGACCAACCATTACGATGATCAGATTCTTAAACATTGTCAGAACAGTTGTAAGAAGTTGCGGAGCAGCGCAGCTTTGCTTCATTGCATCAATCCAGTTCAGATCGTACAGCTCTGCTCGGAATGCATCTGACATGTCGTGTACGCTTAGCTGCTCCGTCCACAATGACAGAAATGTCTAAAGAAAAGATAAAATAATAAGTTTTCTCTTCTGAGGAAGCGAAGAAAAGTGCTAAGTAGGGGTAAAAACGATAGTGCCTTGCAGCAAGCTGTACGCAGGCAAAAATCAAATTTTTGGGTATAAACAGGTGCAAAAACGTTTAACATTGGAATTTTTTCATCTATCTCACCCTCTGGCTAAATGAAAAGCTTTGATGTTACTTCTCTGCTAAATTATCTCCCTGTTTGTTAATTTACTTGCAACTCTGATCCATTCCATTCTGATGGGTAAACCAGTGGTAATTATGCAAATGCGTGGCGAACAACCGAAAGGAGATCAACGGAATGAAATCTTTGATCACCTAAAGGCGATACGAAGTTGTCTATGCGCAAAAAAAAAACAGTTTAGAACAGAACGAAGCAGAAAATTTGTGATTGTAAACGAAAAAAAATGATGAAAAATAAATAGCAACACGCAACATACTAGCTGGTGCAATCATGCGTTTTGTGCAATTCAGCCCATCAAGCAATTGCCTATTAATGATTTTCACTGCTCTGTACTTTAGTCTATGCAAAAATAGTTCAAATATTGGAAAATAGTTAAAAATTCACGCGAAAGCGCATGGAAGCTGAATTCAAAACCACAAGGGGTGAATATCTTTATCCCGAGGCCGTAGGTGATACTCAAGAGCGCGGAAACGCTGAATTTGCATAGGCAAGGTTGAGCGTGGACAGGGGGCCATTACACTAAAATTTCAGCCTCCTAGACTCCGTGGTTCCCGGGATATTAATTCACCCGTAAAAAACTTTCACAGGGCCGTACGTGTTACCCGCGGGTGCAGGAAGGCTGAGTTTAAATTTGCCGCGTCACCCGTTGGCGGGGAATACTATACCAAAATTTCAGCCGCCTATCTTTTGTGGTTCTCGAGTTGAAACTGCGGGACAAAATGTGGGACACACACAAACACAAACACAGACAACCCCGCGACAATATGCGTTTTGTAATGCTGTTACACAGCACAAAATGCGTAAAAACAGCCGATTAAAGCATCATAAGTATAGATAATGTGATAAATTCTAAGCCCATCACAGAAACCTTTTAAGAGTTGTGCAAAATAAAAGGGCAAGTCTAAGGCAAAATTTAATTTCGTATCACTAAAACCATCAAAATCTTTTAGCACCAGCAAAAAAAAATAATAAAATGTGTGCTTGCATTCCTGGCAAAATGCCAATTCACTATCAAAAAGCTCGCAAAAGCATTTGATACAATCATCAATTCACATAACAAAACAAGTGTTTACCTCGACAACTTGGGTAAGCATATCTTTTTGACGATCGGTTAAATCCGTATCGAATTCGGGCATGACCGATTCTTTCAACCACTTCACATCATTCTGCATCCTTAGCAGCAAATCCTCTTCCTCCTCCTTAAACAATCGATTAAAACATCATGAGCATAGATAATAAGTGCTAAATTCATCACTAATTATAGGTTAAAAGGAAAATGTTAGAAGAAGAAATCAATGAAAAGGAGGTAAAGGATATTAAGATAGGTAAGGGATCTAAAGAAATATTTGTTATAGGTAAGAAATGTTTCGGTCCATTAAGTCGTATACATTTCTTACCGCTACCACAATTGGACCTCATCAGTACGACGATTGTGGTAACAAAATAATTTACTAAGGCGTATAAATTAATTAAGATAAAAAGATGTAAATCAGAAGTGAAAAATGACCTTCCAACAGAAGTGAAAAATGAAATTTAAACAGGACCAATTTTATAGGGCCAAACGAAATTAAAAGAAGGCAAATTATAACTAACTTTGCAGTAGAAATTTTACTCAAATTTTCTACTGTGATGTATGACCGCTGCATTGGCGGGAGATAGGACAGTGATCTTTATGTTTTGCTCTGTTGTGGTGTGTGTGCTATATTCAGTAGAGGTTGTAAGACTGGAGGGAGACGGCCAGTGTGCCTTCCCAAGTGCACAGTGTGTGCGAAATGTCCAATCCTTTTCGCCCTATCGATTGCTCCCCGGCACCGTGTGCGCCGTGCTCGTGTTGCTGCTTCCTTTTACAATTGCCTTATCGAATAATATATCAAATAATGATCAATGGTTTTTACTAAAAATAGATTAAAGATCAACTGCGTTACTACGACGCAATACCCCTGCCCCTGGTTTCAAACTCTGACCACCCTACCCTCATGAAACTTTCGATCTTTGTCCCCTGGAGTATAAAAGCACTCCTCCTCATCGTCGGGATCTTTATTGTTTTACCTATCTACCACTTCTATTTTACCTGCGACCTGTTTCTTTTATATAATCAATACTCTTATTCTGGGGAGCTTCGGGCCTTACCACATTTATTTGTATTCTCGTTTAACATGTATTCTCGTTTTATTATAAGTGTGTATATAAGACGCGGCGCCTTATCCATAGGTACAAACGTGGCACACACTAGTCTAAGAATGTTAACAATTATGGTCGCGATAGCCTGTTATATTTTATTGGTGCTGTAATTAAATCCTTATTCCAAAGCTATACTTCGACAGATATGACAGCTACGAAGGACATTTGCTAAAGCAAGTCCAATCAACAAGACAGAATTATTTTGGGCTATACAGCTACACATTGGGGTAGTTCCGATGCATTTAATCACAAAGTGACAAGACCGGTGCAGTAGTAATTTGCAACAAATTTAACAACTGAATCGGTGTTTTTTTTCCAATTTGCCAGCGAAAAAACAAATCTTCCTTCGATTCGCTTTGATAAAAAAAAATCTGTACTACTTTAAACGCCAGAAAGTCAAACTGCATTCAACTTGTTCTCGACCTTAGGCGAAGGTATCTCCACGGAATTCTTATTAGCACAGCGCTATCACTCGAGATACTTCCCCACCCACAACTCTGCCTTTCAAGATATAGATGTAAAAATGCTTTTGTCTTCATCTTCTTACATTTGACAGTAACCTTGAGAAAAATCTAAAATTTTTATAAAAACCAAATATAAAAAAAAAAAACCTCGTTGTTCTCATTCAATATCATAGTGGCAAGGATGTAATGCAATCGGATACCGCGCAGAATGTTTTCAAAAGTAA